TCAATTTCATTTTCATAGTTCATGGACACAGTTTATGTCCTCTTTCAAGTCTAAGATGAAATATGAAGATTCATTTTGAAAGATAATCTTGCAAATGCAGAAACACTAAATAAAACTTTTATCAGAGATTCAACAGAAATCAGATACCCATATATGTACGAGGGCAATCCCAAAAAAAAGGTCTCCTATTTTTGGGGGACGTAGAGAAAGTTTTAATAAGGTTGTTGGCAACACTGTTGTGAGTGGTGCCTTCTCAGCTACCACATAAGCACGCAGGCGCTTCGCTCGGATGCTCAGTCTTGGCTTGGCAGCCATTCGAAATGGAGCTCCCGACAAACGTTACCGCCAAGTCGAAGTGCGCGCAGTTACTCAATTTTTGAAAGCAAAAGGCGTTAAACCGGTTGAAATTCACCGCCTATTGACAGAAGTGTATGGACAGTCGTGCATAGATGTCAAAAACGTTCGCAAGTGGTGTAGAGAGTTTACAGCCGGTCATACTGAAATTCATGACGAAGAAAGGAGCGGGAGGCCGTCAATTGCCGACGAGACATGTTGAGTTTGTATTCGTTGAGTTTCGCGATTGTTGAGTTCGTAAAATGCGTAAAGATTGGAGGATCATCTGGATGCTTCTGAAGCTCCTCAACGCTTCCTGAAGGGCATGGCGGCAAGCTGGTATGACATGGGCATTGTAAAACTGCCACAGCGTCTACAAAAATGCATCGACCGAAAATGGCGATTATGTTGAAAATAAAGCATTCTGCAATCTTTAAAGTGATGTAGCAATTATAGAAAATAAACGGTTCTTTGTATATCTAAAATTCTAGGAGACCTTTTTTTTTGGGGATTGCCCTCGTATGTATATATTGTTTGTGTATGTATATACATATATATATATAATGAAAGCACAACTTATTTGAATACTCGATGATATATTTTAGAATGATGAATTTGCAGATACTGTTTTACAGAAACCCTACTGAGGAATAATCGTTTCATTCAGGTTAGTAGCATAAGTCTAATCCTGTATGACTAATAAAAGTAATAGCAGCACATTTTTGGAAGCATTGAATGAACACTGAGATGTAGATGCGTACAAATGCTGATGGCATAGATACTTAATGCTTATAGCGTCCATCTATTTTGAAGAATATTTTGAAGAGAAACAGACAGTCGAGCCGAATTAATATTCCATTTTTATTTAAATTCCCAATGGTGACCACAATTCGCTTGGCATTCCAATTGCGCCTATTTCCAGAACAATTTTGATACTATAGCGACAGATGCGAATATTGATGATGGCAGCAAAGCGTCTTAAGGATGAAAGCATAAGCCAGAAGAGAAAGAGTCTCAGTACTTCAAAGGAAGGCGGGAGGAAGTGAAGTTTCGAGTAAGTTTTGGTTTACAATTATTTTGATTGGGCAAGACACATCTGTATTAAGCATTACGTAAGACAGTATGATTACTTTGAATGACGCAGTTTAGACTCAAGGCGCTATTTTTAGACTGGACGATGAATTTACCAAATTTAATAGAAAAATAAAAGAGGTTATATCAAATTAAATTTAGAAGTTCGCTTTCATATTTTATATCTTACATATATATATATATATATATATATATATATATATATATATAAAACGTTCAGAAATTGGAACTTATTTTACATATAGACCCAAGAAAGGTGAACTTCAATAAAAATAAATTTCAAAATATCCTATAAAAATACAAAATAAGAATTAACGAAATGTGAAATTAAAAACCTAAAAATCATAGAAACCTTAAAGTTTGTACCAAAACCAGAAAAATAAATAAAGAAGAGCAATTCAACTAAATCTGATGTAACGTTATCAAAAGAATGATACATCAAACTAAAATTGTAATCATCCTTCCACTTGAGAAACCTTTAGATTATGTATTCAAAATTGGCTGATGAACTATTCTAAAGATTTTTAATTAATAACAGTTCAGCAGGACATTTTGATGTACACCTTTACGCAGGAAAGTTTCAGTTTTAAATCAAGTAAAAAAAGAGACTTTTTCACAAAATTTAAATCTGAAATATAAAATAAAACTAAACCGAGAACATTAATTTAAAACTTACTTAGAGGACAAAGTAGCAAACTGGTAGTGAAACATACTAAGTACACGTAATTGAAGAAATCCCAAATTCGAATAAAGTAAATAGTTAAACAATTTTTACACTATGTAACATTAAAATTGAAAAAAAAATGAAAATAAAATGTAGAAGTAGAATCTACTAGAAATGAAAGAGCCAGGTTCCATGCATTCTAAATTTCCACCAAAAATGAATTCTTCTAACAACACAGCTCTCTTTGTCGCGATGTCGGATTTGAGCTACAGTGGCTTAGAAAACTTATTGTCGAACTACAATTGATATCCTAGACTTCTAATTCGCCGGATATAATCCGGTTGAGCACTTCTTGGAGCGATAGATCAGAGAATACCAGTCACTTCCTTGTAGGATGTGAGAATTGTGTGGAACACCAACCAAGATTTCAATATACTTGATGGTTTGCGGAAGTTTTGCTTTCCGAAGGTACAACTACAGTATATTAGAAAAGACTATTGTGTGTGCCGTGATACAATCACGCGACCAATGCTCATGTTCAGAGTGTTAAGTTTTGTCATACTTTTTTATATTCGATATACTATTTATATCTGGGATGTAAATTGATAAATGTTTTCCAATGATTCGCTCCAAATATCTTTACCTGAAAATCATTGTTACTGTTTGGAGTACTGTAAAAAAGGTTCCAGCTATGTGGTCAATTTTTGGGTATTTCTGGCATGTTTATTCACTATCTATAGTAACTGTTAACTAGTAGAAATTCTAATTCAGTATCAGAAAGCATTATAAAATATCAAAAAGCTTAATTAAATTATTCTTTGTTTTGAAGCTGTTGATAGCAGCGATTTGATAAGCAATTTAAAATTAGTCTTAAGTTTTAAGAATTCTGTTTTGGAAATTAGGTAAGATCTTATTTTTGGATTTATGGATTTTAAGATTCCAATAATAGAGACCATAAGATATTATAAGCCTTATTATTATGATAAAATTTTATGATTTACATTCTGTGAACTTTTTAATATTTAGTTTTAAGTATCAGAAAGAAGAAGAGAAAAAATGGTGAAAGAGCGAAGAGATAGAAGTATGTGTTACGTGGAGCTGTAGCTTCAACTGTTGATATCCGAAAAAATAATAATTACGTATTTTTTTATTTAGTTAAAAAGAAACGCTGGAAAAACGAATTTCAATACTGCATTTTACTTGGAATTTTTTGGATCTTTTTCACCCCCATTCTGAACTACTAAAAATGATTGTAACCTCGACACCAGATGAGATTACAAAAAGTATTACAAATATAAAAAAATATTATGTTTAAATTATGCGTACGTGCATAAGATAAAAATTATTTGACATTTCGATTTTAAACCTCTATAGATGCACTCAACGGAACAATGTTTACAAATAATGTTTTTGAAAGTGAGAGTAATCAAAAACAGCTTTGGAGAGATGATATAGAGTACAAAAACATTTAGTTCTCTTCTCTTTAATATGGTATTAACACATCTAAAAATTACTCAAACGAAAATATTGAGGATGGAAAACAAATGTCTGACGCTAGACATGACACAGGTACGCTGGTTGGTCACTTTAACTTAAAGAATTCTTCGAATGGTTAGAATATTTAGAGCCTTCAGATGCTAGTAGAATATTTAAAATATTTTTCGATGATAAATAAGTATCAACGTATTTACCACAAAACATATTCACAAGAATTTATTTACACGCCAAATATAGTTAAAACATGTTAGTTTACATTAAATTAAAAAAAGTGTTTTTAAAAGTGTTATTTCCAAATTGCTTTTGCGGTCATTAGATATTTAATTTCTTTCTTTATATTCTTGAATTCCAAAGCATCATGCCTTGAAAAGGAAACAATGTTCGGTTCTAAGATTTTTATTTTGTTGTAAAATATTCTGCAGAATAAAAGATCTTTCGAATATTACTCTAAAGTTTATTAAATTAATAACTTAGTTTACATTTAAGAGAATATTAAAACTTCTTTTAAATTAAAAAGCATACTTTTTAAGCAATTCAGTCAAAATATATTAATTTCTATAATGAAGACTGACATAAGACTGACACCCAGAACTTTATACATTAAATAAAAACTTATTTACTCTGTTTTATTTTTACGTTTCAAACGTAGATTAGCTACAATATATTCTAAAAAATCTGATGATCTAATATGAAATGTAATGTACCATTTAAACGTTTTAGTAGTTAAATAGCTCTGGTCCTGAAAACCCCGCGAACAGGAAACCTCAATAAAAGCGCAGTAGATTCAGTTTTCGTCTTTACCGCAATTTTTTTCTGCTGATTTCGAAATATTTATAATCAGAAAAGAATGACCAATTTAAACCGAGAATTATTTCGATTTTATAATTGGCATAGCATTTTCTATTTGCTATTGCACTTCTATATTTAATTATCACATATTATTGCTGTTATTATTATCATCATAATTAATATTATTATAATTATTATTTTAAGAAACATTTATGCTCTACTCGTTAGAAAATGCCTAGTTTACTATATCAGTTTGCTATGTTTCCAAACAAAAATATTACTCAATAACATCTCACCTCTATTACAAAACCAATTTCGTTTCGAATAGCAGTATTAAAACTTGAATCAAGATTATTTGTTGAATTTATTCTGTAGATCTGTTTCATCTTGTCAGAAAAGCTATTTCTACTATCTGCAGAGAAACAAATTCGAAGATTACTATGCTTTCACAAGAAAACTTATATAAATTATGAATAAACAAATACATAAAATATCAGTAAAACGAAATTTAAAAATACACAATTTTAATCTCCTTAGATAATGTGTGTATCATAAGAATTATAACATGTGCGAATAAAAAACACGTACTTAGACTTATAAGGTGTTTTTCCCGCCTTCTGAGCGTGCCTTCGTTGTGTAGTGGTTTGCACATTGGGCCGATATTCCAGAGGTCCGTGGTTCGAGTCCCCGCGAAGGCGATTGCGCATGTTTCATCTTGCCTGCTTCCAAAAAGATACATAATGTCCCCACAGTGGCGCCCGAACTAAAAGGGTGTTGGATGATGACCCCTAAAAACCCCAGTCGCCCTTCAAAAGCGGGAGTATATAAGGTATTTCTCCCGCCTTCCTAACGTGCCTTTGTGGTGTAGTGGTTCTGCACGTTGGGAAGGTGTTTCAGAGGTCCGTGTTTCGATTCCCGGCGATTGCTCATTTTTCTTCTTGCCTGCTTAAAAAAAATGCTAATGTCTCTACAGATTTAATTATTTATAATTAAAAAAACGAACCCTTAATATTTATTTTGACAAAGAATTCATTTTGTTTTGTCACTTATAATACTATTGATTTGTTTTACACAAATAATGTTGACCAGAAGTGTTTACGTTGGTCACCGTGTTTACATAGTTCAATATATTATGCACATTCTGAATATAGGCAAGCATTGTTGACATATTTAAGGTAATTATGCTTGCATTAGGATCTCTCAGAGTTGTATGTGTCTCAAATGTATGTGCCTGGAGGTAGAACTGTTCATCGCTCATGTCATTACAGTATTTTATGAGTCGTATATCATTTCACGCATGTGTCAAATGCAAGGTAGCAAACTGAACAAATAGATGCGACACTCCGAATTATTAGAAATTAGGGAACACAATACAATGGAATAGTTATGAATTGGAGGAATCAATTTTGTTGAAACTCACAGATTTTTTGTAAGATGCAAATAATATCTTTGCCAAAAAGAAATAAGTAAATGTTATTCAGATTTTGAGAACTTAAATAAATTTCAGTTCAATTCAATGGACTTTCCTTCGATTAATGCATAGTCTCTATTAGGTTCATCACGATTCAAGTAATATCTGGATACATTTTATCGTAGTGGCCCAACACCCTCTTTAATGAAATTTTAATGACTATTAATTATTTCAGATAGGTACGCTTTTGCCATCAGTCTAAGAAATTAAAAAACGAAGTTTTAAATACAGAAATTAAAATTAATGAGAAATATGATGTCATTCGTTACTGTTCAAACCTATACGTTATCAAGGTTTGTGCATTGACGTGGTGAACAGCAATTTTCATTTCTCAAATTCTGATCCTTTGAGACGGACATACTATCGTAACCACGCATGATGTTATACTTTCAGCTTGATCTTTGAAACGGAGTAACGAAATCTAGGAATATAATATAATTCATATGGAAATAAACATTTGTAAAACTCTCATCTTGAAACTCTTATCCTTGGCATTTCTCGGTGATTTTGAGGTCTTCCACTATGAGATAGACTTGATTAATGGAAGTAAGTCGGAATAAAACTGCCATTTTTTGTAATGAACCTAGAAATTATACACAACGACCTATGAAAAGCATATATATAATACATTTAAAAGAAATTCAAGAAGAATATCAGTTATGCGGGAAATCCTAGTTGTGTAACTGTGCATGATTTTGTGATAATTAACCTAGTTATTTTATTATTTTGTTCATAGTAGCACTTCTAATTTGATTTTCTCCTCACCAAAAAGCGCAATAGTTAGTATACATAAGCATTGCGTTTAGTATAAGAAAGACTCAGCGAATGCCAGTTTGTGTTTGTTGCGCTGTGATTAGTGTATTCTTATAACAGGTTGACATAAAGTTGAACCTTTAGAACATTTAGACAAAATCTTTGTTTCCGCTTTTTGACGTAGCATGGTCTGGTCGCCCAGCAACAAAGTTCGGCTTATGAAACTTGTGGCCAAAAATCCTATGTCTAAATTCTCCATTGAATCCCCCTGATGAACTGCTTTATCCGCTTCGTTAGGTACCATCGCTTCGTAAAATATTGAGGAGAAACCGAAGCTTGGTAAACGCATTCTACCTTTTATTTAATATTACAATTTCAATGGACAATTTTTCTATGTTTTCCCGCTACGTAGAGAAACATTTTGTTTTTTTATAGTACATTCTGCGTAAGTGTCAGGCTAGCAAATTACATAAGGGGTTTATTTACCCCTTCATCTACGTTTATGTTATTCGATTTGTCAGGTGCGAATGAAGAGGAATCGTAGATTATCTTTACAGGATTGAATCATATATTATCTTTACTAAATTAAATTATTGTATAACAGGACACGGACAACATATTTTTGCGCAAGAAGTATGGCGAACTCCGATACCTGCATATGTGGGGAACAGGGAACTCCTGATCGTTGTACTTTCTCATGCACCTTAACTGAGGATATTAACATAAAATCCTCCCAAACTGATATCGTAGCATTCCAAAGATTTCTAATTATCAGTATCCGAACTTTCAAAAGTAATGCAACGACTCTCTTTCTACGGCCTAGATCTTAGTCAAGTATAGGTTCTCATGCTGCATAAATTTAGTGAATTTTAACATCTTGTGAATATGTACGAATTTACTCAACTTGTGAATTTTATGAAATATAATAACCTTTCATAACTGAAACAACCCCATAGACACTTACCTCCTTAGTATTATTATAATAGTTCTTTATACCATTGTGCTCCAAATACTTATTATACTAGTTATCTCATTATGTTTAACTGTAATTTTTGTTACCCCAAAACAGGTGTTCAATTTAATTTGTGAATTTCAAATTGCATTAAGACAATATCGTAATCTCTCTATGTCCTAAATCATTATTTTTAATATACACTAGATGCGGGGGCTACGGTGGGATTGCACGATGTGCCATAATAGGTTAAAAACTAGATTATTTGTAAAGTTTCAACTGCACATCTCCTCGACCTTTCTTTGTAAATTCTTGTAAATCAAGCATAATAGTTTTAGACTTTTTAGCTCTGAAATGGGAATCTAGTTTTAATGCTATAAGTAATTAATTATTCAACGTCTTGTTTACACAGTTCTTGTAACTCAGATCGCGATGAAATGCTAACGAGACCAGCTGTACTAAAACTGACGATATGACGAAGAACTTAACAAGGCCAACAGAACTAAGGGATGCTGGTTTTAAATTCATAAGTTTACCGTTGGCCTGAGAATCAGCTTTTCACAGTAAGTAATTATTATTCTGATATATGATATATTTGCAAATAAGCAGTAGGTAGCTGCCGCGCATTGTATAAGGCACAAGTTTTGAATGAATTATATAACATCAGAAAGATTATACAAGCAGCTGTCCTTCAAAAATAAAAGTTACCACTGAATATTCGGTTTAATTTTTAAGGAAACGTTTATGTTTTCGTGAGACGAAACTATTTCAGGATAAGTACTTTGGTTGTTCAAGGTGATATCTTCTTTAAGCTATTAGAGGCAAAGTATGATGAACAAGCAAAGTGGAGATATGAGGTAAATTGCAAAATTTATCGACAAAATTAACTTAAATAGCTCTTTTGTTTTCTCGCACGGAAGTTTGCAATAGTAAATTTACTAGTTATATAACCATAAATTTAACCAACAGCGCACATGGATCTTATATCATCGTTTATCATTCATCATAAAGTAATGAATACCGCGAATTATTAAAAGAAGTTCTTTAAACTTACCTTTAAACTTTCGTTAGACACAAGTGTTTATCTCGAAAAATAATCACTTTAGGTTACGATGAAGTATAGTCGGTTTATAATTATAACAGATTTTGAATATGATGTACTTAATACTTTGATATTTGATTTATTTGATTTGCATTATATGAAGAATCAAAAATTTTAAAATATGGATAAATTACGGTCTCTTAGGTTGACTTTATGATATTCGGTTAGTAGATATATAAAATAATTTCTAAATATCAATCCTTTCACATACAGTAATGCATATATGAGTTATCTGATTAGTATTCTCATACATATCATGCATGAAATGGTTTCAAACGGTTTCCCAAATCTGTTATTCAAAATAAAGTGTTTAACGCAAAAGGCAAAAAGCTGCAAAGACTGAAAACCAAGCATGAAAATACTCTTCAAGCTTAAAAGGTAAGTAATGGTTTTTAAGAAATTCAGGTTAAACGTGGTGTCATATTTAATATATTTTCATTAAAATTTATTACTTAGACGTTCGTCAATTATTAGGTAAAAATTATTCGCCGAATGTTAATCCTCTGTTACACAGTACTTAAAATTTCCATGGTTTGAGTTAATTTTAGATACGTTTGCAAAATCTGGGGCCATGGGAAAAAATTTTATTGCCACATGTTACAGATCGTTTCAATTTCATAATAAGCATTAAAGGTAGTTAAACTTAAAAAATATCCATAACATGTATATTAAAGCTGAATTTAAAGCTACAAATAAGTTTATGCATCAAAAAATAAGCGTTTAGTTCAGACAAGTTACACTTTTTAGCTAAAATTCCATTATTTATTTGAAACTTATGCCATATCCTTAGAGTAAAAAATGTCATTTAAAGCATTCTTATCAATATATTCTTCAAAGCCACTACGCACCAAATTTTTTAAAGATTTTGCATAATATATAATTATTATTTTCCTTAGCTTTTTCTTTTTTTGCACTGACAGAAGAACCAATTATTTTTATTGACGGTTTGTACAATTTTTCCCTTCGTTTTTGGTAATAGGTAGATCTTTTTTTTTATTGCAGTCATTTAGCTAAAAATTGATGCTTCATCAAGGATCACACTATATTTATGTTTGTGTCTGCTAAATAATTTTCATACAGGGCTCGTAGTTCTGCGTTGAACCACATGCCTTGGAAAATCCTGGTAAATATACATGATATGTTTTAGATTTTCTAAGCGGTAAATCTTGGTCTATTTTTTTTTATATATTGTTGCTACAGACTAAATATACTTCTGCGTCAGCAGGCTTTCTATTTTTATCAACGATTTAACTTTAGAAAAATTAGAAACAGTACGTACCATTTTCATACATTCGTTTGGAGGCTTCTTTCATGTACACTGACGGTTGTTCCTTTTCGTATTAGAAACGCTGCTGATTTTACTCTTAGAAATTTTCATACTTATGTTTCCCAACATTTCTGAACTATCGAATAGGAGTAT